ACCCACTTTTTAAACTATTAATACAGTAGACTATATACATATATTGGTGTGTGTGTGTGCGTATTTTAATTTTTCTAGAAGTCCAGACCATAGACTGTATTTATCAATTATTTTAAATTGTTGGGTATGTGCACTTGCCAGAGAGAAACAGAAAGACAAAGAGAGAAAAAGGGGAGAAAGCATCCCCCGATGAAGCATGACCACACCACAACTTCTTCTCTTCCATCCCTCCTTCCTGTCATGCATTTGTGAGTGCCCGCACACACGCCTGTTGTGTTACTTGTCACCATTCGAACCATGGTAAGCCATGTGGGATCTGGCTCCCTTAACCACTGCATGATAGAGTCTGTCTATAAAGTCTTTTAATACTATTTTTATGCTAATACAATTTTAAAATACACTATTGTAGTTAGTTATGTGATATTTTATTTTTGATATTTGCCTAATGTTATAAATAATATTGGTTTATAATTTCTGATATTTGTTAGGTTTTGATATTAGGGTTATGTTCATTTAAAAGTGGATTTGCATTGTTCATGCCTTTGTAATTACTGTATAAATTCCTTAATAAAAAAGAAAATAGAAGCCAGCAGGTAGTATGATGATTGGGGCACTGGACTCCCACATGGACGATTGCGAAGTCCTGGACCTGGTGGCTTGCTTCCTCGCTTTCCCCCTCTATACACATGCTCTATAGCAAACTTAAAAATAATAAATAAAATAAATAGTTAAAAAAAAGAAAAGTCAATTGGGAAGCTGTCTTTCCCCTGCTATGAAAGATTTTACAAAAAGGGGAATTAGGTCCACAATTTTTAATTCTTTGAAAGTTTGATATAATTTTTCTCTAAAACCATTTGATTTGGGGCTACGCTGGAGTTGAATTATATTTTTGAATCCTATTTCCCGAATGGTTTGGTCTACTTAGATTTTCTGTTTCTTCTTTATTTTTTTTCAGTTGCCAGAGATTCACTGGTGAGAGGTGGTAGGGGTGGAGGAGGGGTGCGGGGAGGAGAGCATGTGCCCCAACGGGGTGTGGTCACCATGCAGTCTGCAGTCCTTTTTCCTCCATTTCTCCTTCCTGAAAGAGGCTTTGGGCACCCATGCACATGCATCGGGCGTTTTTTTTCAAGTCTCCAAGGCTGAAATTTGAACCCCAGTTAGACATGTCAGATCTGGCTTTCTACGCATAGCACTTAACCTCTGCACTACAGCCAGTTCTTCCATCTCTTTTACAGTTCATTTCGATAGTTTTATGAAGAAATTACACTAGTTTTCAGGGGGCCCTCTTATGCTTGAGAAAAATGAAGGCAAACACGTGCTCACCTGTAGTTTTCCCAGATTTTGGAGGCCCCACGATCGTAATCCTAATGGGCACAGTGGGCTTAGGTTTGGGTTGGCGAATATATTTGATTGGGTTCTTCATAAATTTTTCTTTAGTTCTCTTACTAGATAAAAAGTAAATATACTGACGATGGATTACAGGATAAACTGGATTCTCTGAATTTTCAACCGGCTTGATCGTCTCTCCTTCACTTAGCTGCAACACATACACAACTGAATCCATAAATTAGTTTTGATTTATACAGCATTTGCCTCAAATACATTTGAATAAAAAAACAATTTTTTAAATTAGAAAAGAAGCTTTCACACAGAATTTAAAAACTAGTTATAAGTGCATATTAATACTAAATAACTGTAAAAGTACAAATTATGTTATACCCACATACGATCAATGTAATATTTCTTCTTTTTTTCAAGTTCGCTAAATTTATTTTTTAAATCATAAAATGTTTCTTGCAAAAGAGCATTACACTCTGCACATTGCTCTGGACATATGCCAAGGACATGTGGACTATTGTCACCTTTTCTTCCTGTCCCACCTGGAAACGTTACAGTGACCACAAAGCAAGGTGTTCACAATAATTACATGGGGGGGATTTTTCTTTTCAATCACCAACAATGAACAAAAATAAAATTCATTCACTCTGCTGCTGTTTCAAAATTTCAATGTTAGTTTTTGCACACCCTTCCCCTCCCCCAGCCCTGTTTATAAGGAACTAAAACATTACATCTAGTGAACA